ATCCTTTTTGACAGAGGAAAAATACTCAAAATCAGCATTTCAAACAACGTTTAAGTATTGCCCCTGCCACATCTTCACTTCGACCAAGCAACCTTCTCTTGATAGATTGATGTCCTTCATGGATAGATTGATGTCCTTCATGAACGAAAAATTCAATCAATATCTCTTTACCAGAACTCTACTTTTTCAAACCCTCGCTACATTTTCCCCATATTCTTATATTCCTTCACATGCGCTCAACCATTTGAGTAATCATTTGAAGCATCCGATATCCTTTATTACAGCAGGAAAAATGTCGGAGCAGCAGAATCTCCGACGGAGCGAAGGATTCATATTTGAAACACATGTGTAAAAAAAGAGAATGTCGCTGTTATGCTCTTCTCGCAAGATCATATCGCTATTTCAGTGGAAAGGATGGTATGACGTTCTTGTTTATCTTTTTCTTGAGTTTTAATGAGCTTGCATACTCATTGATCTGTGCAAATGCTGTAAATCCATCTAAGTTCCGGTTTAAGGAAGTGGAAAGTGACTAACTCCCATAAATTTTCTGTGATTTCCTAATTGAAATGGAGATTCAAATTTGTACTTTGAATCAACATTCCAATAAGACTTTCTTGTAACATAGATGAGTTCTGACCCATCACTAATTCTTACTTGGCACAGAATTAAATGAGAACTAGTGATAGTACGTAATCTTATAATTAGTCAGATGACTTGCCTTAGACCTTAATTTACGATTAAAATTAGGTGAAGAGCAAAACTTCTCATTTTATAGAGACAAAATGAGATGAATGAAGCATATAGCAAGGCAAAGTTTTTTTTTCTCAAATAATCAAAATGTCAAACCTGTCATAAGATCCCGTGATCGTTTCATCAACGCTGTTTACCTGCTGCTCCAAAACTTGGTCCTTCTTCAACCTTGATGGGTTTCAGCACTTCTCATTACTCTGACGAAGTTTCCGTGGCAACAAATCAAATTGTTCGGGTTTTCATGGGTTGTGTCGTCAGAGGAGTGCAGCAGCATCCATTTTAATAGCAATTCAGCAATAAGCTACTGAATTTTGAATTCCCCCGTTTTGGGGTTCAGATGATAGCAGAATGACTCGAAGATAATTTTCTTACGAAGTAGAATTAGAGAAATGATCCCATTGGCCTCCTGAATACATTGTTGGTCACTTATGATTACACATCTCTGCAAAACGATCACGAATAAACCACTGCGTGAGCAAAATTATAGGAGAAA